GCGCCTGTCTGGCGATGATGCAGCTTCAAATACCGCTCAAGCTGGCGTCGGCATTGTTTAGAGTCCCCGGGTTGAAGCTGCCCTGATCGATTGGATCCCAGTCAACGGTCGGATGTGCGCCGTTAGATTAACTGGTTCGTTCCATTCTACGAAGTCGCGCAGGAACAAACGGTGCCTGTTTGTCAGTGTGGCCTACGCCCATACAAACTGTAGCACTGATTCGGTGAAAGATTGTTTTTATCAGCAACTTAACGATCTCCTTCGTTACAAAAGAAGCACAGATACTGTGGTATTGGCTGGCGATCTATACACCCAAGTCGGAAAATTGTCCTCTGATGAGCTTCATCTGGACGGCCAACATGGTGTAGGCTCCCGTAATGATAAGGGTGAGCGATTGCTACAGCTGTGTAAAGATGCTAATCTCTTTCTCGTGAGCACTTTCGACACAGTACCCGCAGAAGCGTGACTTGACGCCCACCAGCCATGGACGCAAATCGATCATCTCGCGATCAGTTACCGCTGGAGAGGCTGTGTCCAAAACTGTGGCTCGATTTGGAGCACGAGCGTGGACTCTGACCACGCACTTGTTTGCGCCGACCTCCTGGTGCGTTTCGGCAGACGCCCGCAACGTCGATTTGAACGCATTGACACCAGCCAGCTGGCGTAGCCAGGTGTTCTGAATGTGTATTAAAGTGCGCTGATATTCGGGCTGAGTAAGCGCCCACTGAACCACCGTCGAAGATCACTGGTCGCATACTCGTTACTATTAGCAGACATGTCTTCATGTGGTAAATCAAATTGCCAAATTAAGCATTGGGTCTCTACTCAGTCTCTGGAACTTATGGATGCTCGCCGACGTATTCCGGCTGGAAGCGAATATAATGAGACTCGCAAAAATTTCAGGGCATAACTGCGTGCTAGCCTGAATAAAGACTGCGAAGCTTGCTGGTCTCATCGTGCCTCGGAGATGGAAACAGCCGCTACCATTGGTAATCATCGTAAGTTATTCCGTCTGATACAGGAAACAGGCAGCAGGAGACCTGGTGTTAGCGGGACCATACGCGACGAGAGTAGGCAGCCGATCCACAGTCTGTCAAAATGTTTGGAGCGTTGGGCCAAACACTTTGCAAGGCAGTTTAGCCAATCTGAGTTATCGCTTTTTCTTCCGGGCATTGAGTGTCCTTCATTGGCCGTCCCCTTAGATCCGCCCTCACGCGCAGAAGTCGAACTTGAAATCAGGCTACTGAAATTGCATAGGGCCGTAGGGGCAGATAGAATTTCCCCAGCCCTCTTCCAATTCGGGGGGCCTGCTCTAATAGATGATTTACACGAGTTTCTAGGGAAACTTTTGGGAGCAGGAGACTGTCCCGACAGACTAGGGCCGCTCCATCATTGTCCCAATTTTCAAACGAGGCTCCTGTTCGGAATGCGATAATCATAAAGGGATCAGTCTGATCACAATTGTCTCTAAATTGCTTGCGTCTGTGATTCTCCACAGACTGTTTGGCAATCGTGAAAGCCAGATCCGTGAAGAGCCAACCGGGTTTCGTCGAAATCGGGGCTACATCGACCATATCTTCACCTTGCGTCAATTGTTGGAGCACCGCCATGTTTATTGGTGATCCAGCGTTGTCATGTTTCTTGACATAAAAGGTGCCTTCGAGTTGGTGGGTCGATGTGCCCTTTGGGACTGGATGCTGAGGAAAGGTGTGCGTGATAAATACGTAAACATTATCAAAGCGCTGTACGCGCATAGTTTTGGCAGAATGTGGGGTTATGGCAAACTGTCGCCACTCTTCAGTATCACCAGCGGTGTGAGACAACATTGTTCGCTATCGCCTTTCCTTTTTAACTTCGCTATTGATGAAGTCATGGAAACAGCGTTCGCTGGACACGACCTAGAAGGTGTCGAGCTACTTTCTAGTGAGCGACTTCTTGACTTGGAGTATGCGGACGATATTGTCCTAATCTTTGACAGCTCCCAAACATGTCAAACAGCACTGGACCGATTAGCACTGGCTGTCAATCGTTTTGGGCTATGCTTTGCTCCATCGAAATGCAAAGTACTTCTCTAAAATTGGCAGGAACCCACCCCTGCGTTAACGCTTTGTGGTGATCAGCTAGAAGTCGTTCAAGAATTCAAGTATCTGGACAGCTATATTAGCGCCCGTGGGATCGAAGCTAAGGTTTCGAACCGTATCGCAAAAGCTCGAGGTGCTTTTGCCAATTTCCGCCACCTGTGACGCAGACGCGACATTACTAACACGCCCTGAAGAGCCGTTTATAACGCAGCCGTCCGTTCAGCTCTCCTGTATGGTTGTGAAACCTGGCCCATCAGGTCGACAGACATAAAGAGGCTCGTCACATTCGATCATCGTTGCCTTCGTAGCTTAGCTCATGTCTGGTGGGAGCACCGCGTGAGCAATGAGCGTGTTCGGCGTATTGCGTATTTGGTGCAGGAAGAGCGAGTGAACCGCTCAGCACCATTATATCACGCATCAAGCTCCGATGGTTGGGCCACGTGTTGCGCATGCCAGCACACTGACTTCCGTGACGTGCATTGTTTGCGCGCCGGACGTGTGGTTGGAAGATGAGGAGGGGAGGCCAAGCGATAACTTGGTCAAGAGGAATGAAAACTCTCACTTCGAAACTGCCGTCGGCTGGTGCATCCCGACTGCCTGGCTGGAGTCCTATGGACGATGAACACGTTTGGTTGGACACACTTGCTGATATGGCTAGGAGCCGGCCCCAATGGCGTTTGTGTTGTGAGTTTCTTTGTCCATCCCCCTCCCTTTAGGTTCCCCTTCCAATCCCGATCTCATGCAAAACGCATAATATAATATTTAACATCATATTTTTTGTAGTGTAATTTGTGTAATTGTAGTGTTTTTAGTTTCTTATCTTTTTGTATTGCGGCACATTAGCTGAGGTGTGTTTCTCACCCTCAGCTAACGTGTACTGATTATGATGATGGTTGAGTTCATCATTACCAAGCATTTTTGTGCACCTGACAACTTTTAACTAATGTTTTCACTTCATGCCCAGTGATTTATCAACACCGCTTGCTCATCTATGCGCTCCAAATTGAGTGTTTTATTCTCTCGCACACCTTATCATGACTCTATTTTACCTTATTTATCCCATTTTATTGTGGACTCCAAGAGACGTATCTGTACCACACATGAACGTTTGCTTGAGTAATTTGCATAGGTATTTTATTTTTGCCTTTTGATTGCAATTTCAGTGCTAGTGTAGGAATATTCCGAGTTGGGCGTATACCAGCTCAGCTCTCAAACATTGATGGGTGGACGCTACGACTGCGAAAGGCACAGCTGATCACGGGGGTAAACAAGTTGTCACCTTGCGTTGGGATTCCGTAGTCTCTTTCTTCTATTTTATACATCCAGCTGCCATGTCTCACACCGTTAGGAGGGAGATTTTCAGGCACCACTAAAACGCTCACAACTTAACCCACCTGAGTTCTTTTGACTTTGTGTCCGAAAATTGTCGAGTGTAAGTTCAACACTAGCAAGCGAGAACGCAAGTATTATAGTACTGCATCATCTACCTAAGCGATCTTCAGATCCTCGCCTAACAAAGCATCGCGCATTAGCCTGACAAAGTCTGTGTGTTCAGTTTCTGCGTTCCTTTTCATCATTTCATTGGTTGGCCACCCAACCTAGCGTGGTATCCCGAGCCAACACACGCAGACGTTTGCGGTCAGCCAGCATGATCATATCAACGTGCGCAATTGTATTGCAAAATAGAATAGTTCTGCGGGCGGGAGTGAACATTGAACTTCCTCACTTGGCAGTCACACCAGAAATGCTACATTGGCGCTGATGGCCACTAAAGATCGCCCTCTTGATGTTCTTAACGCTCGATGAACATGTTTGCACCTATACTGTCATGACACTGGCCTTGCTACGACGTTGGATACCCTACCACTGTTTATACCCCCCTCTCCCTGTTTCGTGAGCCATAAATTCCTCACTAAAACCTGTCATAGCCTCTTCCGTGATCCGATCTCTGTGAGTGCAACATCTATCTAGATTAACAGTAGAGAGCATCTGGAGTACGCTGACGCTTCGGTGCCATGCGACCACCAGCGGTCGCACGCTGAATGGGGCTATCGCGAGGTCGCCCGCCTTTAGATGACAATTCAGACACACGGATCTCTCGGCCACTGATTGGGCTGCTAGATCGTTGGAAGAATCAGTGGTGCATCGGCTCAGTTTTACGGTGCAAAGCGCCAGCCAAAAATGTTAGTTCCTTGCGCTAGTCCATCAGATAATCCTTGCACTGCAGTGACTCATACCACAGTCTACTCTAGGTCTGTCAGTTGGCCTCCCGGAATTGGCATCCGAGTTAGAATCACTACTGGCGTGTTCCGTCACAACTTTTGAATCCTAATAAACTTTACGTATGGTAGTAAACTCGGCAGGGATTATCACTGTTTCACGTGTCCGTATGATTAAATGGAACAGAACATAATTCTGCTTACCGACCCTCAGTGCTTGTCGTTTTTGTGAAGTTGCGATCATGCTGTACGTCTGCCTGTCTGTAATCGTATGCCATCTACATTTCTCACCTATTTCCTGTTCAACCATCGTCTCATGAGCACCATTCCGCTGGCCCGCTTTGACTTATACCATAATTTTCTCTTCAGCATAACGAATTCACGATTATTCGTCTCCTCCCCATTTACTTCACTGGGTGAATGCTCAGGTCCGCCTTTTTTCGCCAACAGCCCCACATTCTCTTCGTGACCGTTGCTCGATTTGTGTCGACTCAATAACACCCTGGATGACCGTAGCGCTTATCTTTTTTTGGTTTTTGGTGGCTGCGCATCACGGGTCACTCCTGCGCCACTTCCTACGTAGTCGATATTGTGATCCTTCTGGTTTTCTGTCATACCGCTTACTTCTTTCCGGGTGTTTTTTCTCAAAAACTTCTGTATAATAATCCGAAAAGCGCATACCTTATGCTTCTTTCGCTAGGACGAACCGAACTCGACCGCATCTCTAAGGAAACCCAAGCGCTTTGGATTGCTTGCGAGGCACTGGCATCCAACTTGTCTTCCACATCACCCACCATCATCGAACATTCCTCTCAACCTGGGGCGACTTTTACCGGACCTCTGAAAGATTTTCTGGAGGCAATCGAGGAGTCCGCTTCTACCGGTGACTATCCTTTCGCTATGTCTATTTTGCAACAAATACCTTCGGAAGTCTCACAGAATGGCGTTTGGCTGGAGCGTGGACTAAAAGAGCGATTCGAAAAGGTATTATTCATCTAATTTTTACTGCCTACCAAGAAGTTATATCCTGCCGTTTATATGCGTAGATAGCTTTGGGATCGTAACAATAATATGACGATGTAAATTTTTCATGCTCAGCCTTTACTTTTGTTTATTCCGAGTGGCCTAAATGCCTTAAACTGCTGGCTAGTTGGCATATGCCTCTAGCGGTCATGGGCTCGATCCCCAGTAGGGGACCGAGGGAATGCGCACCTCTGACCAGCCCCAATAGGGCGAAACGCGTCTGATACTTTTCCGGACTAGGCTGTGCTATGTAGCTTGTGAGCAGCTGGGATGAAAACATTAAAATTACATTCATCTTTTTAGCTGAGGGAATTACCCCAGTAAAATCTCACTTACACTGTGATCTCGTTCGTCAAATCCGTTCTTCAAGAACACAGCTCTAGTTCATGGCGTCGCAGTAGTGGCATTTTCTTCCCGTGGAAATGTCACCTTCGATCACACCTGTGACTTATTCATCTAGCTACGAAATCATCCCCGTTGTAATGAAATGGCCTTAGCATAGTTTATGGGTGAGAAATACCTATCCATTGCGCTGAACTATACCGGGTGGGTGTCCTCGGGGCTCCTACCAGCTTTATCATTTGCTGTATAACTCCTAGATCGGCAGTGGGGTGACAATCATTTTTGCGGCCCATTCTATATACTGTCACCGTATCCCCGCCACTTTGCGGCCAGATTATCGGGCCAGCGGTTTTGGGGGCGGACGATGATCATTGGGCCAAGAATTGCGAGCCTTTGCATTATCTCACTCTACCTGCAACCGTGACTATTAAGCATACTTTAGTTTTCTATTGCACTGAATGTCGCTCATTTTCGTGAGGTTGCTACATTCATCAAGACGGTTTCGGCAAACGGGTTACTGCTGCTGTCTCCCACCTTTATCGCATTCATTTCTCTTGCATTGTTAGTAATCTTTATTTCCCAGCACCTTTGGCATTAGCTGTTGCAGCTTTACCCGGTGGTTACAGTGCCCAATAGTCGCTTGGTCTCATCTCCGTTATTTGGCAACACAATCTTCTTTCCCTTAGTGACGCCAGTCTTCCCTACTCTATGGCAAGTCGACGGGGCTACATTTACACATTTACGCCGAAACTAAAATGTACGACACTTCCATCGTTACCAAACTTACTTCATCTAGCTCATCTTCCCGCTATTCTGAATACTGAATACTGTATTATAGAGCAAGTAGAAATAAATTCTGTACAACTCTTTCGAAATATGGTGAAAAACGTTATAAAAGTTGTCAGCCGTGAATATCGTTGTCGTTCTAATGTAACATTTAAAATATCTGACTTACGATATTTCAGGATTCACAAATGTGATATGTCATCGTAAGTGTGCAGTCGTTCTCTGAATCGAATAGTGGCAAAATACAAATCTAACAACGTTTTGAACTGTTGCACAGATGTTGCCTCAATCACATGTTCAGGTAAACTGTTCCAAATGTTTACCACTCTCCGTTCGAAGCACAGTGGGTGGGGAACACATTTCACATCCGGCACGACAAGTTTGTATCTGTGTCCGCGTGTGCTGCATGGCCCTCGTAAGTGCAGCATTGGCCTTAGCATTGGGAAGTCACCGAGATGTAGAATACGGTAGGTCATAATGAGGTCGACTCGCACCTGACGGTAGGACAAGGTGTAGAGTCCTAGTTTCTCGCACCGGTCTTCATACCCAAAGCCACGTAAACTCGGGATCAGCCTGGTAGCAACGTGTTGGACCCGTTCGATCTTTTGTGCCTCGCCTCGGGTAATCGGAAAGTAGGCGGGCGAACCGTACTCTAGCATTGGTCTAATGATAGAAGAGAAGAGGCGAGTGGCAACCTCTTCAGACCATGTGCCGAAGCTACGTTTGAGCGCCCAAAGCATGCGCAGTCCGTTACGATATAGCCTGTTCGTGTTGTCCACGGACTTCAAATCGTAGCGTGAGAGTACACCTAGGTCCTTCACGGAGGGTGTGGGATATAGCGTTTGGCCGTCAAGGGTGTAGGTTCGGCCGTTAGCACCCTTCCCCAGGCTCATAAATACAGACTTGGCTGGGTTGACCGGGAGAAGAACTTCTGCAGACCATGTGGAAGGGGTTAGTCTTCTGAAGTAGGCCACAGTCATCGGGAGCGTCGATTTCTCTCCAAATCTTCATGTCGTCCGCAAACAAGGCACACGGCGACCGGAGAAGCTGCGGTAGATCGTTGATGTGGATCAGGAACAGAGTGGGCCCCAGCACAGTGCCTTGAGGCACGCCACTTGTAGAGGGGTACCAGTCAGTTAGATGGTCGTCGACCTGTACCCTCCACTTTCGTCCAACAAGAAAGTCGCGGATCCACCGGTGCAGTGAACCACCGACACCACACATGCTGAGTTTGTGAAGGAGAACCTCATGACTGACCTTGTCGAACGCTTTACTGAAATCGATGAATATCACGTCGACGGACTTCCCCTTGCTTATTGCCTTCAACCACTCATGCCTCGTCACAAGCAGGTTCGTAATGCATGAGCGACCTTGCATAAAACCGTGCTGTGCGGGCGTCAGGACTTCGTTTGACTGTAGCAACTGCAGCAATCCCTTCTTCACGATTTTCTCAGCAACCTTTGCCAAAATAGGTGTCAGACAAATTGGCCTGTAATTGTCTACTTTGCTAGGGTCGCCGCCTTTCGGAATAGGCTTCACCACCGAACATTTCCAGTCAACCGGCAACAAACCTTCGGACAGCGACCTGTTGAAAAGGTCAGTCACGACAGGAGAGAGGATGGTTGAAAGTGACTTGAGAACCAGTGGGTGAAGCCCATCAGGTCCGGCAGGCTTGGTGCCGTCAAGGTTGGCGAGTAGTTGACCTACCTCTTCAACGCCGCAATGCAGACTATCGAGTTCGGTAAAAGCGGTACACGTCGAACTCGGAACAGACACCTGGTTATTCGCAAATACAGAAGCGAAGTGCGCCGCCAACGCGGACGCACGCTCAGTGCTGGAGGTTAGGGGCTGTCCATCCGTGCCATCCAGCACTGGCACATCACCTGCCGGCTTCAGGCGTCGCTTCACGTATGCAAAGATTCTCTTTGGGGCGGTCTTCGCGGCTAATGCGAGCTGCTCTTCGAAATGTCGGCCTTTATTCTTTTTTGCACTGTTGCAGAGGTTCCGCTGACATTTATACCCTTCGTAATCATTGGCAGAGCCAGAGAGGAGGAATTTGTCCCACAGTCTGCGCCGCCTCCGAGCCAGGTTTCCATACTCCTTGTCAAACCAATGAGGCTTGATCGGTCCAACCTTCCGACATTTCAATGGCACAAATTGGGAACACAATGATGTCAATCTCTCTTTTATAAATATCCAACAATCTTCCACAGATGCAGCTTGTGACAGAGACCAATCCAGTTGGCTCGCGGCTCGAGCTAGACCATCGAAGTCCGTTTTCCAGTAGTTGGGAGCTGGTTGCAGCGGATGTGAATACGGCAAAGATAATTCCATATCAGCTATCAGTACTGAGTGGTCGCTCGTAGCCAGGGGCTCCAGGATCCTAACGTCACGCACTCGTTGTTCGTAGCTCGTTAACATCAGGTCGAGACAGGACGGGGTTGAACGTGTTGATATGCGTGTTGGCTGGCATATGTGTTGCGATGCACCAGTTTCAAGTACAAATCCACGAACTTTGCTTCAACCTCACTATGTCCAGGCATCAAATGCACATCAGGCCATCGTATTCGAGGACAGTTAAAATCGCCCATAAGTAGAAAGTGTGGACGACTCATGTGGGTCCGAAGAATGGGCAGCCAATCCAAACAACGACTCAGGGGGCTGCGATAAACTGCGCCCACAAGCAGTTCTCCGCGCCTGAGGCGGATGGAGCACCACAGTAGCTCACACAAACCATCGTCACTTCGGTAGGTGCTCACAAGTCTCCCACGCAGGGAAGACCGGATGTAAAGTAAGACACCACCGTGGGCATTCTTTAGTCTATCGCATCGGAAACACGAGTAACCGTTGAGTTCAAGTTCTTGGGTGTATAACTCTGCATGCAGCCATGTCTCTGCGAGTCCCACTACGTCTGGCCGCTCAGACGCAACGAAACAACAAAGCTCATCGCGCTTATTCATAATACTGCAAACGTTTGTGAAGGCTACTCGCAGGCCGCAGCAGGAGCCGCCGGGCGTGCTTGAAGTGTGAGCAGCCTGTTTATCCTGATTCGCGGATTGTTGGAAACCACCCGAAAATTTACGATACGAAGATTTGTTTCCCCCTCACCAGTGCGTCTTTTCAGCTCAATGATGGCAGACTTGAGCCGCTCCCTGTCTACTGGGTCCAGGTCTGGACGAACATGGATCTACAAACCTTTCAGCCTACTTAGGCGGGACATGATCAGTCTTGGACTGGCTTCGTCCACAAAAGTGATTCTCATAGGCCGATTTTGTTGATCACCTTGCTTTCCAAGACGGGTAACCTGCCTCACTTTTACCGAGTCCTCACCAGCGTCGAGGAGTCTATCAACTCGACATCGTGATCGTAGCGCACTTGGGGTGATGGATCACTGGACTCCGGTGCGTGAAAGATCACGAGATTATAACGCCTCTGGTCGGACGAGGTTGACCTTGCAGGGCGAAGTATACTACCAGCCTCACGTGGTTTGGCTAACTGTTGAGTTACAGAACGTAAACGCCCAACGTTCCTTCGTAATTTCGTTCTCTGTTCTTTCCACTGGTCTTCAGCACTCAGACTTTCACCTGCTGGGACATCATTGTCCGTTGGACACAACAAAGGTAAACAATTTAGGCCAGGTGCAACTGGGCTTCTCACAACGGTTGGACTTCGTGTCGGTGAGTTTGCACGGGTAGAGGAGGACGGCTGAGCCGAAACCTGAAGGCTCTTCGGGCTAGGTTGTTGGGCCAAACACACGGAGCTGTTCGCAACGAAACGCTGAGGTCTACACGTCGGCTTTACTCTTTCTGGCTGTATCTTATTTCGGCAATTTTCACATATAGTTTGGA